GCCACTTGCTTGACCTCAGTTGTTTCAAATTTTATTGTGTGTTGGAGCACGGATAGGCCTATTGCGTACATTGCCATTGCAACAGGTCCCCCTGCGTTGTTCCCTCGGTTGACTGTATGATGGTATTGTAGCGTGCTGTATGTGGCCAGTTGTCAATTCTCTTTGTATGGGCACACAAACGTATGTACATGCAGATATCTCACACTCAGGAATGAGGTAGGATAGAAACTCATAATGCGCTTTCTGTATATATATATATTGTTGTACAGCGCAGTGCTTAGGAGTGACCAGGTAAGGAGAAACTTGCTCAGAGGTCCTGTAGGGCGAGGAAGCTGAGTGGTGAGGAGCTGTGAGAGATGTTGCTGGTCCAGTAGCCGAGTGTAGAATGGTCTCCCGATCGATCGATCGATGGGTGAAGTAAAGTATGAAGAAATCTTGATGCAGGTACTTAGAATGGTGGTGCGGGAACTGGACTTAAAGAATAATGGTGGAATTTGGAGGGACTTGGGGTTGGTGGATAGTGCAAGAAGAAAAGTGAGGAAATTGGAAAATAGTAGTAGAATGCTAGGTCTTGGGGCTCAACCCAAGTGCTTCTGTTTTCTCATGTTTGTGTTCCAGCTAATTTTCGTCTTAGGTATTATATTTATGTCAGGTATTTGTATGTTTAGCAAATTGCAATTTTATGCCTTACATTTTCGGGTCTTATGTCCTCGCCAATGGTGAGGAGTCTAGGGCAGGTACTTGTGTTTCTGCTAAGAACATCCCGTCTTTTTATGATCTAATGTTGTAAGTGGTAGGGCTGCCAAGGTTGTCACTGGGGTAACGTTGCATCTTTCAATAGAGTGGAGTTGGTGTGGGTTCTAGGGCTTTTCTTTTACTGCGAGGGAACCACGAGTGTTCTCTTCTTCCGTCTTCTGTCTCTTCCATCCATTCTTTGATTGGTCCTGGCTCTATTTCTTCTAACTTTGTCCATATTCTTTTTGAGTGTTCGTGTAGGTAAACGTTTAGGGGTTCTATTTGCGCTCGTTGGTGTAGTTGACGGTTGGTGACTATGTCACGATATCTGATGTTATATACATCCCTTAGGGCTAAGTTTTGAATTGTCTGCAGTTTCTTTATGTTTGTTTGTTTTATTGCATGTAGGGGAATTGGTGGATATACTAGTCTGGATTGGACAAAGGCTCTATATAACTTTAACTTGTTTTTTGCTGACAGGCTTCTGAAGCGTTTTAATTTAATTACCACGTTTCTGGTTTTTGCAAGTTTTTCGGTGATGAATGTTTTGTAGCCTTCCATGGCATATGGAATCACTTTGTTGTCTACTATAATGGGGTCTTTTTTCCTTTTAGCTATTGGGATTATTTCGAACTTGTTGGTGTTCGTTTGTATCTTCCACTTTTTTTCGTACTGGTTGATGTTCTCTATTGCGTTGGCAGTATGTTGTGCCATTATTGCTGTTGATTTGCCGGGGTATGTGATGATTTGTGTGATATCGTCTGCAAAACTTATGTATTCACTGTAGGGAGCTGGTTCTGGTAGGTCTGCTGTGTAGATATTGTACAGCGTGGGTGAAAGGACACTGCCTTGGGGTACTCCACTTTTCAGTTTTATGGGTGGTCCTATATAGCTGCCAATTTATATTTGTGCCGTGCAGTCGTCTAGGAAGTCACAGACGATTTTTTCTATTGGTTCTGGAAGATTTAATTGAAGCAGTTTAAATTTTAATCCTAGGTGCCATACTTTATCGAACGCTTTCTTAACGGCATGGCCGTATTTATACAATTTACGAGGATCAGGATTTGGGGTGAGCGTAGCGAAAGAGCCAATCACAGCGGCTTAAGCGTAAAGTGTGAAACGCTCTGATCCTGAGCTGGAGGTTGAAGGTCGAGACTAGGTCGGCGATCGTACCCCTACGTCCACTGCATAGACCTAGTCTCTCGGCGTAGCTGGCTGTACGCACAAGACCCAAACACGAATGAATGGACACTTCAAGAGAGCAAGAAGAGGAGGAGAGTTAGAAGAAAATCTACATCAAGCTAAGAAGAAGACCAAGACATTTCCTCCACACAAGATAACAACACCACAATCACGCCGACCAAGCACTGAGAACCCATGGCCCAACCCAACACGCACCTGATGCTTGACCTGACACTAGCCTGACTCTGTCCTGTCGCCTCCTGGCCGCGTCCGGGCGAGTTGCTGCTGCCTCCAACTTATACTCCCTCACGCAAGCGGTGTTTAGCCACTGCACCTATTCTCTCCTCCTAAAATTCACTTCAATCCTCACTTTATTTTTCCCCTGAACCTCCTTCCCCCCTGTCACTAGCATTTCATGTCATGTCATGGCTGTACGCTGATTGGCTGGTAGGCGCGCGGCCGGAGCTCAGTTGGGAGTTGTAGGGGAGAGGAGCCACTACAGTATCACCTCTTAGAGCCTTGTTGTTTACTATACAGAGGTCTGATGGATTCCTATAGGAGTTTTCAACATACATTGCAAAGCTTTGACACTTGATCTTGATGTTGTGCAGTGCGGCCTTGCGGTTAAGTATGTTGAATGCGTTTGAAGCGTCCACCAGGAGAACGGCTTCACAATCACGCTGCTCAAATATCGTTCTCATGGCGTGAATGGCAGCTTCCCCTCCAGCCTGGTGGCCAGCACAAACTTGCAGGTTCCCTGCTGCTGCCCTGACATCATCCTTTGCCACCTCCATTATGCATTTTCCGATGATCCACCTCAGCACTTCCCCCACCCCTATAGGCCTACATCCTGGATTCTTATCCAGGGGAATGAGGCAGCAGGTCGTTAGAGCATGGAGGTGTTGGCAGCACGAGGAAGCCAGCTTTCTTGCAAGGAAGGCAATGGCAGTGCAAAGAACACTTGCTAAGGGGCCAAACTTGTTAGTGCTGAGGATGACCTACCTACTAGAGACTGAATGCGAAAAGGACTGTAGTGGAATTCTCCCCTACAAACGCTGTTTGTTGCTGCCTAGCCGACCCCACCAATTCCCCAGTGTATGCCTCGTGGTCTAGGTCAACCAGCGCCGCCATACACCACGGAGTGGGGGTCAACTACTAAGCCACGCCAACCCCCGCTATTTAAGACCTGACCTCGTGGTGATCTCTCTCTTTCTACCCACACCAACCAGCAACACCACACCACCTCCGCCGCTGCCTGGCGGCCCTCGCTCCTCCTCCGCCTGCCTGGCGAGCATGGCGACCCACAAGCTGTCCTTCTCTGAGCGTCCTCACCAACCAGCTCTCTCTACATCACGCTTGTAACCATGCTGCCTTCCCAGCACCAAGCTGCATTGTACATCCAATACAACATGTATATAGAGAGCACATTGTGAGTTTCCTTTCTCCATCCTATCCTGAGTGTGAACCAAACAATCTCATACCCCACAAATGGTGACCCCCGGAGATTCGCACTAACACAGGATGGAGGAGAAACTGATCACGCTCCCAGTCTTCAAGCAACATGGAAGACTGGCTTATCCACACAGAAGCAGCTCTCATCGGCTCTACAACTACTGTCTCTACACCGCAGGTTAGACACCCTAGAGCAGCTCTGCGACTCTAAGCAGACACCAGCTCCTCTTCCTGCCCCAAGCACCACGTCCTACCGACCCCAGCACACCCGTCCTGCCTCAGACGCCGACCCCGGCCCAGCAGTAACCCCTGCCGCCCTTGATGCGGCCTCTGTTCCTGAGTGCGGACCCACACACCCCTCTTTTCTCCCTCAGGTACTCCCTGCTAATGTCCTGCACCCTGCTGCTGTCGTGGACCCAGCTGCTGTCACGAGCCCTCATCCGCTTCTGCTGACGCAGCCCCTGCTCCTGACCCAGGCCCACACACCCCAGCAGGCGCATCTGACGACTCTGTACCTGCCGTGAGGGAAGCACAACATTCATCGCCTCCACACACCCTTATTCTCCCTCTCTACTCCCACAGATATTGTGTATCTAGACAGTTGTCCCCAGCGACCGGCTCATCCATGCCATCGCCGTTGTCTCACATGAGGCATGCACCGCCCGTTCTGCCTCACATGTGCTAAGCAACTCTGCAGACAACAAGTCTCCTACACCGCCTGGAGGGAAGGGGGAGTATTGTAGTGGAATTCTACCCTACAAACGCTGTTTGTCGCTGCCTAGCCGACCCCACCAATTCCCCAGTGTATGCCTCGTGGTCTAGGTCAACCAGCGCCGCCATACACCACGGAGCGGGGGTCAACTACTAAGCCACGCCAACCCCCGCTATTTAAGACCTGACCTCGTGGTGATCTCTCTCTTTCTACCCACACCAACCAGCAACACCACACCTCCTCCGCCGCTGCCTGGCGGCCCTCGCTCCTCCTCCACCTGCCTGGCGAGCATGGCGACCCACAAGCTGTCCTTCTCTGAGCGTCCTCACCAACCAGCTCTCTCTACATCACGCTTGTAACCATGCTGCCTTCCCAGCACCAAGCTGCATTGTACATCCAATACAACATGTATATAGAGAGCACATTGTGAGTTTCCTTTCTCCACCCCATCCTGAGTGTGAACCAAACAATCTCATACCCCACAGGACCTAGGTGTGTATGTTGACAATGGGCTGAAGTTCTTGGGCCATTGCGAGAAGGAGGTGAAACAGGCAACTAAATTATTAGATTTTATAAGAAGGTTCAGATATGCTAGAGACTGTCAGTTGATTGAAAATATCCAAAGGATGGCCACCAGACTGGTGCCTGCACTGCGGCACCTCAGCTACCCTGAAAGATTAGAGCGCCAGAAATTGCCTAGCTTATACCACAGACGACCAAGGGGGGGACCTAATTGAGGTGTATAAACATCTCAAGGGGCACTACTCAGTCAAGTGTCCTTACCTGGAGCTGGCGGACGCTTGCCCCACAAGGGGTCACAGCTCAAGGTTGAGGAAGCCGCAAGCCCAGAAAACAGTGAGGGGTAACTTTTTCGGAGTGTGAGTTGTGAACTCTTGGAACAATCTGCCAGAGTTGTCACAAAGGGACCGAATGTGAGCTCATTCAAGACCAGACTTGACCAGCACTGGAGCAGATGCAGATACATTCAGAAGCTAGTGCATGCCCAGTACTTGCCAACAGTACGTAACAGAGACGTGACCGATCGCCCAAGCGGCTGACGAGCCGATCAGTGGTGAAGAGGATAAAAGTAAAAGTATGTATATTTTCACCATTTCTTTTGATACCGTTGCATTCACTCATAAAATAATACAAGTACTGCTGCTTTACAACGCTTAAAACTATGTAAATAATCGCGAGATATTACTAATACAAATTGTTCTAATTGTATAATATGCATAAAATTCAATATTATTTGACCGAATATATATTTTGAAATTTTCGAATGGCTGTAGTATGACTGTATACAAACACTGTGGGAGACATGCGGTGTGCGTGTGTGTAGGATATACCGCATTACTTTATGTTATTGGGAACTCGCCACGTGAAGAAAAAGATACTACATGAGTAGAAACAAATAATCATAAAGCACATATTAAATAACACCGCTCGTAATATTACAGCTAATAAAGAAGAACCTCCCCACCTGGTAAGCTGGTTTGCCGCAACTGCAAAGGTTTAAGGAATATCAACGATTAATATGTATAATAACTCTAGACTAAAAAAAGGGGGATACAAGATTCGTATTTGGTCGAACACGGGCAGGGTGGGGATTTGAAGTAAAGGGAAAATGAGGGGTAAATTACTTTAAAAAATAAATCTTACCTGGTTAATTTACAGTATAGAGGACATGGTTAGGTAATTTTTATTGCAGTAAACAGCAACTACAAAATTCCTGAATTTCACCACACTCAATCGCTAGAACTATTTTTTCTATGATCATTTTCTTATATTACATTAAGTTAGGTTAGATAACACTTTTTTTTTATCAAATTCTTTGGTTGCTGTAATCTGCAATTTTATCTTATTCGTTTTAGCATACCCTCGATTTTTTTCACAAGATGTTTTGATGTGTGATGTATTTTGATGTGTTTTGTTCAGATCTGACCTTCGTTTCCATGGGGAATGCGTCGTTAAAAAAGAAAAGAAAAAAAGATGCAAGTCATCCTTGATCAAAAACGGCTATTTTCAATGAAAAACGAAGATGAGATCTGAACAAAATACATCCAAATACATCAGAAACCAAACATCAAGACCCCTAACCTAACCTCACCTCACCTCACCTAACCCCTGCAGGGGGCCCTTACGCCTGTGGGAGGCCCTAATCACTGCGGGGAGCCCTAACCCCTGCTGGGTGCCCTAACCCCAGCAGGGTAGAAAACAAGAAATGGCTAGTGGAGATTTATTGATCTAATTTCTTAGGCGTTCGTCACTTGTGCTATTTTTCAGAAAGAAACACGTTCCCAAGAGGCTGTAAGGGTTGAGGAATGTAAAAGTGAGGTAGAAATTGCATAAAAGTAAGTGGTTCTATGTGATTTGAAGATGTACTAAACCGAAAGGGCTCCTGTATCTTTATGACCGATTTTTACCGGTTTGGGTAATTATTTACGACTTCATAGCCTCTGATTTTTCATAGAAAACGAATTTAAAAATTAAGCAATTTCACTGTGTTTTATAGTAGACACTGTCGTAGTTATAGCATATGTGTTAAAAAGTGTTTATTGAAAGTTCAAGTTAACCCTAATGTTATGGGATATACTTGTCTTGGGGTTATTATAATGTTCCACAACATGAAAACACAAGGGAAGATAAAAGGGGAACAAAAATATTTATAATTAACTAGAAATTACAATAATATATTAAGTATTAAACATAATTACACTATATACACAGAAAGGTGAAAATGAAAGTACATCAACTACAACTGAGAAACAACACCAGGGACAAACTTTCGATCGGCAGATTATGAGGGTTTAAGAAGGTACCTAGGTGAGGTCGCCTGGGAACAGTCAGGTCGGTCCCCGGTAGGAACGGGTGAGGTCACAGGCGACACAACAATTGATCATGACTATACAGGTTGTACCTCTCTAGTCCGGCAACCTCGGGACCTGACCGGTGCCGGACCATGGAAATTCACCCTTTTCCTGGATAGATAGTGACTTGTGCTTAAGCCTGGAAGCACTAGCACCACTTTCTCTGCATCATGGTCTCTTTGAAGACATATTGAAGGGTTAAATGTCGTATAGTAGCTTCTCAAATTTCGCGAGTTTTTAATTCTTAACGTATTTTATTGGAACACAAAAAAATAAACAAATAAAAATTTTGACGGCGGAAACTTGAATTTCGACGGGTTTGAACGGCCCGCCAACGTGCAGACGACGTGCATAATCGTGTAAACAGCGTCATTTCTCTTATGTACAAAAGATTCATTATTGTTTATTACTGAATGTCTTTTTTATTGAATTAATGTTTATGTGTGCAAAATGAGCAATACAATTCATTAATAATACGTAGAATATTAAAACACACGAGGAAATGACACAGCATTGTTTTCGTTGATTACAAAACCAGTGACTGACTGGTTCTACATATAAAACTGAAGAAAATAAGACCTTGGTTGTAGCTGTAGTAAAATTAATATGGTTGTTTTAAGTAATGTTATTTAATGTTAATAAATGGAACAATAGAAGTAGCTAACGATAATGGTAAAGAAAAAAGAGAGATCGCATATGTAAGTGCGCATGCGCACACGTGAAAACATATCATCATTACTTTACATAAGAATATGAAAGCAACACTTATTTACTGTTCATATATATTTTAATTAATGTTTCTGAATTTGTTTTTATTGAATTAATGTACGTGTGTGCAAAATTAACAATACAATTTATTAATAATACGTGGAATATTAGAGGAGACGAGATGGCTGCCGGCATTGTTTATGTTAAAGCTTACGAAACCAGTGCTGATTGGTTCTACATATAAAACTGAAGAAAATAAGACCCTGAGTTTAGCTGTAGTAAAATTAATGTAAAAAAATGAATATGTTATTTAATGTTAATAAATGGAACAATATAAGTAGCTAACCATTAATGGTAAAAAAAAAAGTGAGACTGCTCGTATGTAAGTGCACACATGTGAAAATATATCGTCATTACTTTACATAAGAATATGAAAGCAACACTTATTTACTGCTCATATATATTGAAGGGTTAAATGTTGTGCTCTGTATAGACAAGCAGAGAGAGAGAGAGAGAGCAGCCGAACTGCCGGATGTAAACAAACCTTAATTTCCCGCGGCTTTTTTTTTTTAAGGGGATTAGCCCACCCGGGAATAGGTCACTGACCCACATTAGGGCCTGAGGGGCAAAAATTTAATACTCCTATAATAATAATAATAATTCAGATAAGTAAAAAAAAAAAAAAGCTGCCTATCTACCTATTGGACAAACTAAAATCGTTCCGGACCACGGGAGTTTCCGGACCACAGAAGGCCGGACTAGAGAGGTACAACCTGTAATATATTCACTAGTATACTACGTAAAGTACAAGAACAAAATATACCATTCAGAAAAATTAGGTCAAATAAGAATGAGCCAAGGTGGATGACCAAAAAACTTAAACATGACATAGGAATAAAGAAAGGAATTTATAAGAAATTAAAGGGAGGGGAGGAGCAGTTCAGAAATAGGTATAATGAACTATCTAGGAATGTTAAGAAAAATGTAAGGAAGGCAAAGAGAGACTATGAAATCAGGATAGCAAGAGAATCCAAGGTGAATCCCAAGGGATTTTTCCAGGTATATAGGACAAAAGTCAAGGACAAAGTGGGACCTTTAAAGTCAGAGAGCGGGGAAGTGATCGATGTTAGTGAAGAAATAAGCAAAGCATTAAACAGCTACTTATCAGTTTTCACAGAAGAAATTCACGAGGAAATTCCAGAGGTGGAACTGATAATTAGGGGAAATGAAGAAGAGAAATTAAAGAATATCTATCAGAAAAGAGCATGTTCTTAAGAAGATAAATAAATTAAAGAAGACAAACTCCCCAGGGCCGGATGAAATTTTCCCTCAGGTTTTGAAAGAGTGTAAGGAACAGATTAGCGGACCCCTCGTAAATTTATTTACAAAATCATTAGACACTGGCGTTGTGCCAGACTTAAGGAAACAAGGCAAATGTAGTACCCATATTCAAAAAGGGAGACATAGCATCAGCGTCAAATTACCGGCCGATTAGTTTGACGTCAGTAGTGGGTAAATTTCTTGAATCAGTTATATCGCAAATAGCATCCGATCGCATTTAGAGAAAACAAATTAATATACGACTCGGCATGGGTTTACAAAGGGAAAATGTTGTCTAACAAATCTGCTGATGTTTTTTAGGAAAGTCTTCGAGGTAGAAGATAATGACGAAAATTACGATGTTATTTACTTAGACTTTAGCAAAGTGTTTGACAGAGTACCGTATCAGAGGCTTCTGAGAAAAGTAAAGGCTCTTGGTATCGAGGGGAAAGTTTTAAATTGGATAAAATCATGGCTCACCGATAGAACACAGAGGGTCAGCGTAGATGGTGTTAAATCTGAGCGGGGCCGTGTAACTCTTGTTCATAATCTACATAAACGATCTAGATACTGGGTACACGCTTTGGCAGCTGATCTTCCATCCACATCACAAGTAATTTCTCCATCTCATGAAGAGGACCTTGTCTTTTTTTCGTTGTTATTGTTCCCTTTATAGGTGCTGATCCTTTCACTACCTCACGAATTCGTTCCTTGTCCTTCAAAATTGTTGATATTGTCGAGTGAGAGAAGCCAATGTCGCGTGAAATGGTTGCTACCGTTTTTTTTTCATTTTCATATTTCATTATTATTTTAATTTTCATCTCAAAAGTAATTGACTGTCTCTTTTTCTTCTCAACACCACGAGAACTCTCATTTTTACACTTGCCCGTCATTTAAAGGGAATTAGAAATGAAAATTTTGTCAGTACACTGCGCGATCACTAACAACAATAACGACGGCCAAACACCAACTGAGCGGGCTACGGCGTGGATGCTGTACACCACGAGGCGGCCCGGCCTACACTGTCGTACGGGGTCACATTACGATAAAACGTTTCGGGACTTGAAAATACGTAATGTAAAAAATATTTTATACGACCACGGCGGTCGTATGTCCAGGTTGTTGTAAGTCGAGGAGAGACTGTAATTCACATTTTAAACGCGTTTCATTTAAGTGTTTTTGGAATAACGCGATTGTTCAATTAATACCAAAAGCTAATTTTACGCTCACCTATTTTTTAAATAACGTGCTTAAGACAATTTAAATCTGCCGCACGTATTCTCCTGGTCGCCTGGCAGTGGAGTAGCGTGTGATGCCTGGTGACGTGCTTGTAAGTTATTACTATAAAGTCGCAGTCGTATCAACATCAACAATTTTAATATTATTATTAATAATAATAATTATTATAATAATGTAATAATAAAGATCATTACTACTAATGCTGAAGGTAATAATGATAATGAAATATTCTGTACAACAACTGTAACAACGTCCAGCAAGCTTCCTGCGCATCGCTTTCTCAGTTCACACCAGCACTACTTTTTCTCTGTGCGCTCATTTGCATTGTGTGTTTATCACGTACCTTTTTAGTGTTAAACGCTGTTTTCCCTATTGACCATGTCTGGAAAATGTCCATCTGCCTCCTCTGGGGCGCCTAAAGCTAAAAAGGCACTAAAAACAATCGCAATGGACGTGAAATTAAATGTGATCACCCACTTTCAGAGAGGAGAGCGTGTGTCAGGGGTTGGCCTCGTGCTTGGTTTATGTGAGAGCGCGTGTCGGAGGTTAGCCTCATGCTTGGTTTAAGTGAGAGCGTGTGTCGGAGGTTGGCCTCGTGCTTGGTTTAAGTTAGAGCGTTATATGATGGTTCCCCTAATCTGTACCATGTACATGTATTCTTATGGGAAAATTATGTTTAATTTACGCGTTTTTGAATTAAGCGGTGGTTTTCAAGAATGTAACCCCCGCGTAAAACGAGAGGTGGGTGTACTGAACACTGTAGTAAGGAAATGGCAATTAGGCTGAGCCTTTGAAGCTCTGACAAAATGACACCGTGCATCACATAACTACTGTACAATATTTCTGGTTTTAGCAGGAAAGAACCACTAAGTAATATAACATTACTGTAGTTTGACAATATACTCAGAGATAATGCTTGCAAACATTAGACATGTAAATACTGTAGTTCAATGATGAAGCCAAAGGTACAGAAGCTATGTCCTACTGCATCTTTCACTATAGTACTTCCATACTAACTGGTAATTGTTGCACTTAAAAATTGTGTGCTCATTGCACCTGAAAATTAGTCAAGCAAATCAGACATTCCAATTATTAAAAAAACAAAACATCATTTAGTGCAACATACAGGTATGCTTAGTTAGTTTGGGTTGGTAAAGTATTTCGTTCCAAAACAAGACAAAAGATACTTATTTTAAACTTTTTTTCATTTTCATCCTATGTTCTACTACTTTGTAAATCCTTCTTTTAAATTTTTAAGTGAATTTGTACTTTATGCAAAAATTTATGCTTGCAAAAATATAGTTTATTACCAGTACAGTATTATTATATTATTATTATTAAGTAACCTAAAGAAATGATAGATTGTACTGTATTCATATTTTTTATTTTCGATTTCAGTGATGTATTCCGGTGAGAAACAGAACTCAGGCAGTTTTCAAAGACATAAAAGGTTCGCAGATGACTCGGAGGAACACTATGAATTTGAATCCGACAGGAAAACGAAAAATATTGATAGACCAAATTTTGAAATGTGGAACTTCAGTAGACAAGGTAATTTCAAAGAAAAGAATAAATGGCAAAAGTGGGAGACCTCCTTGGAAGATAAGTTTGTAGACGTGCCAAAACCCAACAAACCTCGCAACTACACTATAAGTATTGCTGTGCCGGCATCTATCCTGGAAGAAACATGTATTAAAGATGAGCTTCGAACATATGTTGTGGGCCAATTAGCAAGAGCTGCCAACATTTATTCTGTTGATGAGATTGTGGTTTATGATGATGGATGCTGGCGGAAGAAGTATTCTGCAGGCACCTCTAGTGTGAGCAGAGAACTAATGGGTATGTTGGCTTTAATGAATAAATTTTCACCAAATTTATAGTATAACACAATTATTTAAGGATTATATATATATATATATATATATATATATATATATATATATATATATATATATATATATATATATATATATATATATATATATATATATATATATATATATATATATATATATATATATATATATATATATATATATATATATATATATATATATATATATATATATATATATATATATATATATATATATATATATATATATATATATATATATATATATATATACACACACACACACACACACACACACACACACACACACACACACACCGTACTGTCCTCATATCTGAGGATTGGTAACATAGTCCTCCACACAGAACGTTCTCATTCTATTTTTACCAAACCTCTAAGGTTTTGTATCTCTCTGGGGACCCAGTTTATAATTTCATTAATCCATCCCAGTCTCTGCCTTCTCTAGGCCCCCCTACCTTCAACTTTGCTCATTAGTATTTCTTTTCTTATCCCTTAATCTCTAATTATATAACCAAAGTAACTAATTCTTCTTTTTCTTTACAGTTTTGAGTATTTCTCTTGAAATTTTTGCTAATTATAGGACGGGGTCCCCGGGTTACGAATGGGTTCCGTTCTTGAGGGCGTCCTTAAGTCGGATTTGTAATTAAGTCGGAACACGTGCCATGTACATTCCTTACTTACAGAACCATGTTTAAAATCCCACTACAGTATATCATAACCTAAGTCCTTATATACATCTAAAATCACTTAATTTAAGAGAAAAGAAGAAATAAAATGACAAAATACAGTAGGTTAAAGCAAAAAATAAGTCATCTGGTAAATAAAATACTGTAAATTTCAAGTTTAACCCCATTCGTATTGGCTTTCGTTTGTAAGTCGCGGACCCCCTGTACTGTACTTCTTCATTTGTTTTCCTTGTCAGTGGAGCTTATTCTTAGCATTTGCCTGTCACACTACATTTCAAAGGCCTCCAGCCTCTTTCTGGTGTCTGCTGAAAGTATCCATGCATCTGACCCATATGATTGTCATTGCCATATAATGCCTTTCAGCAGCTTTTTTCTCAAATTGAAGTTAATGTCTCTTTTCATTAGGTCATTAGATTTTTAAATGCTGTTTTTGCTTGCCCTATACTTGTTTTGATTTCTTTCATACATCTACCATCACAGCTAATGTTTCTTCCCAAATACACAAAAATTTTCACTTGTTTAAGTTCCCTGTTGCCTACCATAATTTTTGTTTTAGGATTTACTTCCAATATGGAAACAAACATTACTTTTGTCTGTACAGGATTATACCATATTTTTCAAAATTTTCCACTAATCTGTTAACAAGTTTTGGTAATGCCTATTCTCTATCTGTGATAAGAGCAGTATCAAATGCATAGCATATACAGTATTTGATATTAATGTGTTATTAATGTTTAGTCCTTCATTATCATATACTGTACAGTATAATTTTCCCACCACACTTCTTCATCCATTAGTGGTTATGTGTCCCTGTTGATAGTGAGTACTCAGGATAGTAATGTTTACCATGAGTTTTGTACATAAATCACCCATTTTCAACTACTGTGGTTTTGATTTGAAGACAATTTGTCCCTTATGTCAAGAATACCATAAGTTAGGTGCAGGAACTGCATTTACAATACAGTACGTATACAGTATTTATTTTGCCATGTCTATTCACATTGTCTCACCAGTGTCATTTTGATTAAAGTACAGTACAGTACTTTATTTTACATACGATTGCTTCCAGCGACCATTTAATATACTCAAATGCTTTCAATGTCTGCTACATTTCCTGAATTGTACGGTGTGAAGTGAACCAATGTAACCTACCTATCCTTTTATGAATAAAAAATGTAGTACGTACTGTACAGTATTACATCAGCGTTAGGTTGGTTGATCTTGTTTCATAATTGTGTAGCATTTGCTGGAAGTGTTTGTATGAAAGTTCACTATAAGTGTTTAGTTGCTGGTAGTGTTTGTACCATATATAAACACACACAAATAAAGAGAAAAACTACATGGAAAAAGGTACAAAAAGTGCAATTCCTGCAACTATTTTGCTGTGTTCTTTTGTCTCAAGGGCAATTTTGTTTTTTCCAGTACAAAACTAGATGAAATAAGTGGTTTATTTGTGACACTTATGGTTGATACTGTACGTACAGCACTTGTAATTACAGTACGGTTTTTCTTTTAGAATTTATGGTAATACTGTACTTAACTGTTCTTGTGCACTCCTAACTAGAATTTGTGACTAGTTTTGTATTGAAAAAATTCTTCATGCTGGGTAGACTGCAAATGAAGTGAAGTACTGTACAGTAATTGCAATTTTTATACAGTACAGTATTTTTATTTTTCCGCTGATCATTCCATATAAATGCTTCCAGTGACTTTAAGGATTTAATTAATCTGAGATAACATGGGTCAACATAACCTAACCTAATACAGTACGGTTTGATGTAAAATATTGTATTTAAGTTAGGATAGTTAGGTTAGGCAGGTTTAGTTGGCTTATCTTTTCTTGAATAAATGATACAATGTAGCACTCGCTGGACGAATCTATATCATTCAAGAAAGAAGAATCGTAATTATGATTCACGTCTTTGAGATGATAATGACAATAGTGATTGAAAATTTCTTTTGAATCATTGAAGATCAAAGGACAAGAGGTCATTAACACAAACTTCTCAAATTTTGCTGCAGAAAAGTGTAAATATAGAATTCATTGAGGTACAGGGAATTGATCAGTGGAATAGACTACCCTAGGTTGTACTGGTGGCAGAGATCATTAATTGTTTTAAAAGTAAATATGATTCCAATCAAGCCAGACTAAGCTAATCAAAATTTTGCTTTGTTTTTCAAATACTGTATGTAATTAAATTAAGGGAGGGTAAGGAACTCTTTAAAAGATGCATAAGCACAGTACAGTATGTGTGCATAAAACCCCTTATAAAAACACTGAGGAAGTTATATTTGGTGTATAATCACAGTACTGTACAATACTTTTTTTTTCAGAAATGATGCAGATGTTGTTGGAGTATCAGGAGTGCCCCCAGTACCTCAGGAAACACTTATTTAAGTTCCACCATTATCTGAGGAGTGTTGGTGTACTAAATGCTCTCAACTGTCCCCATCACTTACGTTTCAATCAGTGGTGTGAATACAGGTGACTTAAACTTTTTGTAAAATGGAGCCAGACCCTGAACTATCAAGTTGTTGTCATTTTAAAATGTACAGTAATTCTGTTGGCCAAAAGATATTATAATTTGTATTATTTTTTATTAAAGGGAAGGTGTGGTTTTGGAGAGAGGCAGTAAGTTGATGTCTTTCGTGGATGTTGGTCTTGCTACCAATGTCTCTATTGATCAGAAGCTGGAACCAGGGTTAAGGGTTACTGTTAAGTTGCCTCCTGAAGCACGGGAAATGCGGAAACCATTTGGCACTGTTGTGTCACCTGACGAGCCAAGGGTAGAGGCAGGCTATTACTGGGGCTACAGAGTTAGAGTGGCACACTCACTTACAGAGGTAGAGTATTGTATGAATTTTTATATACACATGTAATATTATATACCTGTACACTGTGTACAGTACAGTATATACAATTGCATATTCTTTGCTATATTTGTCTCTTAGATTTACTCTTCTTCCTTCCCCTCTTGTGTTGGATACACTAAAACATATAAGTTGGGAAATTATTGGGGGTGAAACATTTTCATTATAATGCTATCAAATGTGTGCAAACCTCTACTTATATTCATATTTTTACTTTTTGTCAACTGAATTAATGTTGATTTAAAAACATTTATGTTTACAAGATTATTACACTTCATGATTATAGATGCCTTTGGCAGTTTTCACTCATGTGAACAAATAAAGCATTCGGTATTTGGGTGCTACTATAGCGTGTGGTCTACAAGATATATAGGTTAGGTCAGATTAGGTTTAGTTAGACTAAACACATCTTTGTAGACCACACGCTATAGTAGCACCGATATTTGACCTGTGATTCTCACAGAATATTTTTTTTACTTCCCTTTGATTTCAAGTCTTTTCCTGTCTGTCCAATATAAAAAGAGTTACTGTACAGTACATTCTTTATAGGGACTATTCTTAATCAAAAGTTTTTCCACAGTGTTTTCATAGGGATATTTTTTAGAACTTATGAAGGATAACATAGTTTCTTACCTATTGCATCAATTCTTTCATATTCATCTTCGATAAATTCAGGGCTTTATTTGTTCACATGAGTAAAAACTGCCACCCCATTGGTTGGCCAAAAGCTTCTTCATTGATTAAATGTAATGATCTTGTAAACAGAAATGTTTTTGAATCAGCATTAATTCAGGACAGAAAGTATTAATACAGTATAAGTAGAGGTTTGCGCACATTTGATAGTATTATATTGAAAATGTTTCATAGTGACCAATGTATGAAAATTAAAGACCTCACCTGAATGATGCGACCTGAGGATTAGATTGACCTGACCTTATCTAGCTACCTGAGGATTAGGTTGGCGTGATCTTACATAGCTACCTGCACCCCCTCCCTTTTTGGACCCGGGGTGAGTCATTTGCCTCCAAGGTGTGACAGGGACATCATGTAGCTCTCTCTGACTCTATATTGAATACAGTAAGTCCTCGCTTAACGTCGTGGTTCCATTCCTGAAAACCGCAACGTGAACGTAATAAATTTTCCCCATAAGAATTAGATAAAATATGGGAGTTACGTTCCCCAGCCTCCCTTTGCCCCATAAAATACAGTACGGCTCCTCCCCGACGTACGACCTACTCGACTTATGACCACCCGCACTTACAACCTGCCTCAGTCGTACTAAAATTTTGTCAAATTACGTATTTTCGAGTCCCAACGTCAGTGATTGCACTGTGTACTGACAAACTTGTTGTTTGTAATTCACTTTAAAATGGCTGGCAAGCTTAAAAGTGAGAGTTTGTGGTGCTGAGAAGAAAAAGAGACACCCCCTTTTTAGATTTTCTATGTATTATTTAAGCATTTTTTACTTACAACCATTTCGACTTACGACCTGGATTTGGGTCCCTAACCCTGTTGTAAGTCGGGGAGGAGCTGTACATTAGGGGGCAGTGAAATTTTGCTCAAAGCTGCACTCTTCAGGCATTGTTCCTTATACATATCTAAGACTCCATGCCAAATTTGAAGCTGATATGTCGAGGTTTAGTCTGCCGCATTTTCTACTGAAATTTTTAAATTTACCTACAGTACTAGCCAAACAGCCGCTGTGGCGGTGCAATGTTCTGTTCAGTGTTTATCAACTTTTTTTTCATATCTCTTATGTTGAGGATAATTCAGATGATTCAAGAGATATTCCTCTCGTCAATACTGATGCTGATTTTGTCCCTGATCCAAGGGCTCTGACAGACACCAGTTCACAGAACCGAACAAGACTCCCTACACTGGCTGCCGCTTGTGACCGATACTTGATTAGTGATTATGCTGGAGCTGCCATTGCTACTGCCACCTTAACTGACTATGGCATTATCACAAAGGATGACAAGAGTCAGGTTATTGGACCACATAAGCTGCGGGATGCGAGACAAAAATACCGATTTAAGAGGCAAGAAATTGAGATGGCTAGTTTAGATAATTTGACGTCACTCTATTTTGATGGTAAGAAGACCGCCACTCGTGTGATGATAAAGAATGAGAAGACCGAGAAATGGAGTTCGAGGATGATGGTGAAAGATCATTATGTCATCATGGTTGAGCCTGGCAATGAATATCTCACACATGTGACTCCCAAGACTGGACACGGAAAGCAGATTGCCAAAACTATTCACGAGTTTCTGGTGGAGAAAAATCTAACCCAGCAGCCCATTGTGTGTGTTGGTTGTGATGGAACCAATGTAAATGTAGGATCAGAAAATGGAGTCATTCATCATCTTGAAATGTTACTTGGTCACCCGCTCCATTATTTCATGTGTCAGCTTCACGGAAATGAGCTGCCTTTCCGCGCAGTTTTTTATCACTATGATGGTAAACCAAGTGGTCCTGAGCATTGGCATGGTCCCATTGGAAAGCAGATCAAGGAGTCTTTGTCTGAGCTTCCAGTTGTCGCCTTCCAGCCAGTCAGTTTCCCTGATTTCCCTGTGTTTAATGATGAAGTGGAGAAAGATCTGTCCTGGGATCAGAAATACCTGTATAGGATTTGTAAAGGAGTTATCACAGGTGTTGTTGAAGATGACTTGGCTGCTATTGAGCCAGGTCCTCCCTGTGTGTCAAGGTGGAACACCTTATGGAGTAGAATCCTCAGGCTGTATGTAGCAACATCAAGACCCAGCCATGAGTTGAAAAGAATTGTCATTACAATAATAAAGTTCAGTGCTCCAATGTGGTTTTACATCAAGATACACCCTTACGTAACACACGGCTCAAGGAACGTATTCCAGTCCCTGCTATATATGAAACACCTGAATAGTGAGGAGGAGACGATAGTGAAGAAGGCTGTCCAGAGAAATGCATACTTTGCCCACACAGATCAACTTCTTCTTGGTATGTGTGCAGATGAGGACATGACTGTTAGAGAAAAAGCTGTCTCAATGATAAGAAAAATTAGAGAGGAGAATCAGCAAAAGGAAGAATGCACTGGCAGATCTGAAGAGGAGGAGGAAGATTCTGATGCTGCTGTTGACGAGAATTTGTTAAACTATACTGATGAGGAGGGTAAAGATGGAGATGGGAATGAGGATGTGCCTCCTGTAGTCAACATGAGAAAGGTGGTGACTCCGAAACTAAAGTGGCAAGCAAAAAACTATCATTCCATGATTAACTGGAGGAATGAACTCAAGACTGAGCCTCCTTACATTGCTTCTCTGTCAAATCTACAGGTTAATGACATTCTTGAGACACCATTAGTGGTGCCCAAGTGGCCAAACAGCACTCAGGCGGTCGAGAGAGGCATAAAAGTGATGACTGAAGCTTGCACTGAAGTGACGGGATACGAATCGAGAGATGGATATATTAGGCAAAGATTATTGTCTAGGAAAATGATGCCAAGGTTCCGCACAAAAAAGAATTTCAATATGAACTTGTAATGATTTTCTATACGGTGTACCTGTAAAATAACATGTGAATTAAATCGATGTCACCCTTGTAAAATTTATCATTATCCTGGAAAACATTAAATGACACCTAATTTTTGGTATACACTAAAAGTTGACAAAAAGTCGTTCGCGATGCGGCAGGGTAAGTATGCATGAAATGGCATGAAATTTTGCACAGGTGTTTGTTACAGCCATACAAACGATGCCTGAAAAGTGCAGCCTGCAACTCAAATAAAAGTGTGTTTTCCCTGCCCCCTACTGTACATATACATAAATTCAATGAAATTTTTATAGAAAATAGTATATATTATACATCCAAAAAGATAAATAAACTAAATAATTTTGTATTGTACTCACTGATGGGCGGAGGTGGAGCGAGTGTGTGGTGGGTAGTGGAGAGGAGAGGAGGAGGGTGGCGAGTCACTGAGACCCGGAGGGGGGCTCCTCCTCCCGCTCTGACTGGGTGAGAAAGGGTGATGCGCCGTACAAAGTACAGTAGTCCGCGTGACGACGTTATACCGAATTAGCAGGATGTCCGAATCATGGGTATCTAAAGAGTAGTGACGTTATAACGAAACCCGACAACGTTAAACAAGGGCTTACTGTACAGTACACGAAAGCACTTAAACAATATTTTAATTTTCTTTTTCCCTTGTGTCTTACAAGTTCACACATGATTTTATATATAAAAGAGATTCAAACTTTTCTTCTTATAGCAATTTGGTTAATTCTTCCAGTCTATTAATTTATTAAAGAGTACCAAAAGGAAATGAAAACTAGTACAGTATATTTTTATCGATGTAGAAAGAGTATTGATAAAGAGTTGTTTATAAACTCCACAAACTTGTATTGATCAAAAAGAATCTTCTTTCAGTCAATGAGGACTGGTATCTTAGACAGACCAGGACAGCTAAAACACTCAATTCTGCATTTGTATTTTACAGGTTTTGACTGGTAGCAGATTTCCAGATGGATATGACCTCTTGATTGGGACTTCAGATAAAGGAGAAGACATAAAAAAGACAGAATACCCAACATTCTCCCATGCACTCATTGTGTTTGGAGGTAAGACTTATAGCAATGTTCTGTATTTTAGAGTTTGAGAAAGATATTGTAAATGTATTTGTAAGAAAGAATTTGATGTGTTGGTGAATTCAGAACCCATTAAAGTAATGAGAAGGGAAAGCATTTATGGATTGGTAGCATCTTGAGTTGTTCATCTTTCATACCTGACTCCTGATCTATATATTATGAGTTGTGGCACATTCAACAGATGAGACTTGTTACCATGGCATAGGTGTTGGCCAGAAGCTGAATATACAAGCACAACAAGCTATGACCATTATGAAAAATACCAGTACTATACATTACCATAACACTGACAATTGGACAAGTGAAAACATCCAGAACCTGTATAAATACTTGGTCTGTACATTTAGTTTAAATTAGTTTATTTGTTTGTAAAACCAGAAAGATGTTGAAGTCATCAGCATCATTTGTTAATATCAGTTATACTTAGATGACTGTAGTATATTAAAGCTGCAGCATTTATAATGGATGTTAAAGTACAGCTAGTAGGTAAGTTAAATGGATAAAATAATTTAAAACTGTGAGCTGTGCTGGGAGTCCTACCATGCCCATGCTGACATATTGTAATTAGTTGGTCTTAATTGATAAACTAATGAAGTGAAATTTTAGCATTATCCTTACTCTGAATTTACATATTATTTTCTGATAATAAAAGATTAGGGAAAGTTTTGATAGTACCCTGTAGTAGTAGTAGTAGTAGTAGTATCCTGGTGAAGATTATCCCTGTCGGAATTTATTGCCAGATTCGGCTCACATCTACGCATTGACTATATCAAGGTAGGTCTTGAATTGGTTAATGGATGCTATTGAACAACATATTGATCCAGATTATTCCATTTGTCCACTGCTTGTTGACTGAAAGCATGTCTTCTTTTTTCTTTGTTTTTCTTTGCTTTTGTAATGTGTGGTTATGTCCTCTTAAGTTACCTTGATACATTCGGTCTTGGAAAAATTTGTCTTCATTTTCATAACCATTCATTATTTTGTATGTCTCAATTAAGGTTCCTCTACTCCTTCTCTCTTCCAAAGTGGTTAATCCCAATTTTGTTGGCCTTCCCTCATAAGATAGGTTGGTCAGTGATGGTACATTTTTTGTTGCTCTTCTCTGCACTTGCTCCATACTGTACTATCAATCTCACCTCTGTGATACGGCATCCATACCTGTACACAATATTCCAAGTGAGGCCGAATGTAGGTTAAATACTGTATAGAGTCTTTAAAGAGTTCTTCATTTATGTCGGTACACGTTCTCTTAATAATGCCGAGTGACTGGTTTGTCTTTGCAATTGATTTTGCTATATGACTCTTAAGCATTAAGTTGTTACTCCAAGATCATTATCTTCCTTTACCACATTCAGCCTTTGGTTATTCATGTAATAATCAATTTGAGGATTATTATTGTCCTGAATTGGTTGATATCAGGACAAGAATTATTTACGTTACTTTATATGCATTAAATAAATACGTACTTGAAATGGGTGATTACCTTAGTGGCAATGTCGGAGTTTAAATTACACTATTACATCAAACTACTTACAAAGTACAGTACAGTGATATCTCCGTGAGCCGGAACAATTGGTGTAAAGCATTTCCGGGAATGAGAGATTTCCAGGTAACGGGACGACTCTCAAAGCTGGAAAAAAATCCCTCATCCCCGGAATTTTCCGGGTAACAGAAAAATTTTCTTGGAAGCTCCAGAAATTGACCATTACATCATCTCTCAAACCCAGAAAAATATCCCCCGTCCCCGGAATTATCCGGGTACCGGAAAAAATTTTCTCAGAATTTTTGGAAAATGTGCTTGCTTTTCATCTCTGAAACCCGTAAAAAATTTCCTGCATCCCCGGAAATTTCTGGAATTTTCCGGGTATCGGGAAATTTTTCTCAGAATTTTCCGGAAAATGTGCTCCTCAGAAAATTTTTCCCAACGCCGGAATTATCAGGAAAATTACGGCTTTGTAAGCGATTTTCCGAGAAAATTTAAATTCCGGGTTTGAGGGATTCGGGCTAACGGAGATATTACTATTTAATGTTAGGATATCCTACAATATAAATTGATACTCAAGGTTTGTTGATGTGGATGGAGGTCAGGAATTAATGGTTGAGCTTAGTTAGTGAGCCCCTCCATGATCGCAGGTTTTTACTGAAGGTGATAAGTGTTGTGTTTTTCTGGTCAGGATCGTTAAGGAACTGACGATGGCAGGTAATTTGACATTCAACGGTACCTGGTAGGATGCTCGTGCAGACAAAGGAAGGTAGACTTGTGTAAAACTATTATTTAAATCAGGAGTAATTATTTACAATTCAGGTAACTATTAAATATTACTTTAACTAAATACCTGTATAACCTAAATGAAATGCAACATATATATAACTCCCTAACTAAATTTCTTACATTATTTCTATCGTTCTGCTATTCAACACACAGTATTAGATTAGCAGTTACGATGCTCGGGTTAAAGTTTAACATGTACTCTTCTGACCAATTGTTCATCAGATTTAAATTTCTCTGCAATCCTGAAATCTCCTCTGAATCCATCTTAACCTCTTCATAGATCTTGGTATCATCGGCAAATATTTTACACGATGATATATCAATTTCAGATGTCATATCATTTATATAACTAATAAATAATAAAGGCCCAATAACACTTCCCTGTGGAACACCACTGGTAATGGCTTTCCAGCTGGATTCCACTCCATTTATCACCACCTTCTGCTTTCTACCACTTAGAAAATCCTCAACCCGGTTTAGGATTTGGCCTTAATTCCCAATTTATTTAATTTGCATAGAAGTCTTTTGTGTGGAACAGAGTCAAATGCTTTCTGGAAATCCAAAAAGACTACATTGAAATATTTATTCTCATTATAGTTTTAGCCAGTCTTCAAAACTTTCTTGGAGGTTGGTTAAACACGATCTAAATCTTTGGAAGCCATGCTCCCGCCCAGTTTTGTGAACTATCTCATTGTTGTTCAGCCTTGAATAAAGTTAATACAGTATAACTTAAATGGGGGTGCAAGTACTAGATGAGCTACTGATTGTAGATGAACATGTAGCATTTTAATGCAGTCATCCCTTTCTTGATTAGGTGAAGTCAAATGGATTTGGATTGTGTCACTTTATCTCAGAGTTTGTTAATTATAACACTTTTCATAAGAGAATTAGATTGGAGCCCTCTGCTTCTTCCTATTGTGGTAAGATGAATCTGGAGGAGGCTCTACCCTACAGAGAGCAGCTTTGAAACAATCCCAGGAGAATTTGGACTACAGTACTGCATATTCCATCATAGGAAATGTTTCATAAAGAGATGATTCTAATTGGAGAGAGAGTTATTTTATTTGTTGGCTTTTCTGTTCCTAAAGTACCTGAGAGTCTTCAAACATTTGTATCTTCCCCTTCAGTCTGTGGATGTATCTTGTACATTCTAGAACACCAAGCAGTGCACCAGGGGGTGTACTGTACGTACTTGGTATGTCCTTAAGAAATACTGTGCCATTTCATTGGTGGAACACTGATATTCCACTAATCCTATTAAAAAAATTTTCATGTGTATTCAGGTGAGTATTGAGGTGGTGGGGGGGGGGGGTTGATTATGGTGGTGGTGTGTGGAAGTGACTGTTGTAATAATGTTAATGGTAAATTTACTTATAAGTGTGTAAAATGATGTTATATCATGTCTATTGTATTATACTTTGCTAGTTTTATATTCCCTCAATATAAGTTGCCATATAAAGGTTTGAATTCCCAAATGTAAACTGGGGAAATGGGTAGAGTAAGTCCTGGTAATTATATTTTCAACAAGTTTTTATTATATTTTCCAGGAGTAGAGGGACTTGAGGCAGCAGTAGAAGCAGATTCTGAACTTGAAGCAACAGAACCACTTCATCTCTTCGATTTTTATACCAATACGTGCCCACTTCAGCAGACTCGCACCATACGAACAGAGGAGGCTGTACTAATCAGCCTCTGTGTATTACAAGACAAATTAGTGCCCAAGGGGATAATGGAACCAAGTAAAGATGTCCAAAATTGTGATTCCAACCTCAAGTCTCAAAAACGAAAAAAGTCGAAAGACCCACAGACTTCATGAAGGTAAATTATTGATTAACTTATGGCCAGCCATCTCTCACTAGGTGGTTTCAGTATGTAAACATAGTATCCTATCCATTTAGGACCCAGGAGACCTTGATGTTAGTGCTGGAGATTAATCTTAATAACGAGTTAAAATCCAATGAACTAAGTATGTACAGTATTACCTATATATATTAAAATCCCAGTTATCTGGTATCCAGGTAACTAGTAGATTCAACTGATTGACACCAAAAGGAAATACGGGAGTAATAATAACAATAAAAATTCCGCCAAAATCAGCAAGAATCTTAAGTTTAAAAATACCGTGCGTAACGGGGTTGAGCTGCCATATTTATTGCTATGATAATAAAATCGATACATAGCATTTCATAGAATATAATGACACGTATTTTGTGTAAAAAAAAATTGCTCCTTCTACACTCACACCATCCTCTGGTTAACGTAACTTAGTTCAGGCATTCAACTAGCTGGGTCTCAGACATGTGAAGGGGTTAATAACACCACATGTGGAGCTTCTTAGGCTTTTATTTAATATGATTGTCAAATCCATCTATCAGCTCAGCTAGTCTGTAGAAGCCAAGCTTATGATCTTATATTTTCTATAGGTTTATTGGAGTGTATATGTATCTTTGCTATCCAGTAGGAAGATGCCTGATTGCCGGCTTGTACATATGTGAGCCACTTGGATCAGGAATCCACTGTTATGGTCTGTGTGGAGTTAAAAAGTTTGTAAGGTTTTCCTTGTCAGCTTACTATCAGTTGTTTAATTTTAGAGTTAACTTCCTTATAGGGTGCAGTGTCCCAATAGCATGGAACATAAAATAGCATTTCCTCCCATTTCATGCTTCAGATACTCAAGCCATCGAGTGAAGGGCAGCTGACCTGAAATGAAGGATTGGTTTAAAATCCATTTTGTGGCTACCGGTAAGCATGGAACTAGGCAGCTCGGAGGTCCACCTCACATGAGTGAGATAGAGATAAGACAACCATTTGTGGTTAAGTTTTAACAGTCATTGCACAGTTGTGTCTGTGATGTTAGAGTTAACCTTGTCTCTTCACTCTGTACATGAAAGAGATAAACCCAGGACTTCTGATATCCCAGTTTAGGGTTTGTGTTGCTTTTTGTAAAATTTACTGATCATTCAAATTAGTCCTGGTCATGAACATCAAGGTCTTCTGGATCCTAGACTAATTGCTAAGTGTGCAACACACAATGTATTTGCATGTATATATACTTGACTGGCTATAAGATGAAATATCATGATAAGTGCTATTTTGTATAACTATTTTAACTGTTATTATATTCATAAGATGATATTTTTTTTTTTTTTTAGACTCGTGCTTGATATCATACATACTAATTACACAACAATAATTGGCCCATGGGGCCTTAAGATCCATTTATTGTGGTAAACACTTTAATAATACGACTTTAATAGGGAACCATCTTAAGAACATTCCACAGAGTTTCAGCATACAGTATTAATTCTGAAACTTTGAGGAATATATATACTGTATAGAATATATTGGCTAATGCTGTATCTAGTCAGCTCTTGTTGAGTAGGACAACTTTTATTAGGGGCTTCTAAGATTCCTGAGACAGGGCAAACTGTCAGCCAGGGCTAAAATCAGTTGATCCACATGGATGTTCCAATCACCCTTTCCTTCCCCTGTATCACCAACCTCAAATGAAATGAAGCCAAACCTACAAAAAATTATTCTAAGTAAACTCATTCATTTACATGTGATATCACCTGATTTGTTGTAAACCCCTTGTTAACCATTCCTGATTTTTCAACAGGGGTAAAAGACACCTTCTGATTTAATAAGTAAATAAAAGCATTCACAAATGTGGTCAACTAGGAACTGACATGATTTCAGGCAACTGCTGTACCAAAACCTTTATTTGAGCCAGATGATGCAGTGGGAAGGGAAGGGCAGTAACCCACTCAATTTGGATTATTACACAACTCTTGGATGACATTGGGGTCCCTCTCTAAGGACTCAATGGCCCCAGAGTAAGTTTCCCTATATCATGAGAGTTGCCAAGCTTTGGGCTTTGTCAGATAAAAAGTTTCCAGGATTACTTTTCCATTTTTTTCTTTATAGGAATTGTAACAATCTTGGATGGCATCTACTGAAAGAGGACCATCCACAGAAAATTTATAGAAAGTTATAACAATACTGTTTAGCTGGTAGTTTTTGATGAGTCAAAAATGTAAAAAGTTCACAAGGGCACAGATGACAGACAGCCAACTACCTGTATCAAGATAATCTACATGGACTAACGGAGTTTTAGGTATTGTTCATCATTTTAATTAATTGTCATTGAATCCATGAAAATTACTATGAAATATTTTTATGACTAACCATTTCCAGTATTTTCATGAATAAAAGTCAGATATTAGCAGAAGTTTTATTTTCCTTTGTTTTGAGAATAAATTAATGAACAAAGAAAAACAGACAAGTAATTTAATACGAGGTAAACTTTTTTTACACACATTAAACTGTACTGTTTTTATGGTCAATACGTACAGTATTATGAACTTTTTAGCAGACTTGTGGCAAGTCTACCGCCAACGGCATATCCTGTTCAGCTGCTGGAGACATTTCATTTTACAGATGCTATTACTAATCAGGTAAGGGCATTTAAGATCATTTATTCAACATTTTAGCTATTTTCTAAGTGATTTTCGTTTAAAAAGCATAAGTTGGTGGATTTTTGGACTAGAATTCATAAAATTGATGGAGCCAAAATCAACTGGGAAGACATCACCACCAAACTTTTTGTGACTTATATTAATAAAGTAAGCACATTTAAGATATTATCAACTTCCTAACTGTTTTGTATTTACCAGTCACATGTTCGTGCAAGAATTTGTAAACAAATGCACCTCCGACAAACCAACCATATGAGAAGGATGAACCATATTGGTTCAACGAAGGGGACGGGCTTACCAGCCTTACTCTCAATGTCCCCACAGAGAGAGGAAGGGTTGGGCACTTAAAACTGCCATTTGAAGGAACAACTCTTACTTATGGATTCTTCATGAATTTTTTTTTTTTTTATAACTATCAGGGTTGGTGTGCAGAGAGGGGAGAGGAAGTAAGGGAAGAGCTCAGGTTCAGTGGCAGCTTTGTAGAGTGACAGGGAGGGGAAGGAAGAACTGAGGTTAAGCTTTATGGATTAGCCATGTGATGATACAGCACAGAACTGTCAATAGTAATTATTCCATACAAAAAAATACTTCATCATGCAGTTGTTTTTCATCTGCTAATGTTTAATAAAACATCTGAAAATGCATACTGTATAGAACTATACTGTTGATGGGTTTATGCAAACTCCTATGAATCTGTGCCTGATTATATACTGTAGGTACTTCTTAAACAAAGGGAATGGTAAGTTTTGGGGAGCCTGAAAAAATAGCACTTTATGGTTGGACCTTAATCTAGTGCTACAGTATTATGTACATACATAATAACGGTATTGTACAGTGTACACATGATAAAAAAAAGTATCTGTGCACATTGAGTCCAGAGGTGGATCCAGGAATATCAAAAGTGTGTCTGTGTGTGGTGGGGGGGGGAGAGAACATGGTGAGCACAGTGAACCCACCCAGCCGGGGGTTTTGGGATGGTGCCGTAAACCCTCCCCCGCAAATTTTTTGTTTTAAATCGGACCAATATCATGGGCATTTTGAGGCCAGTTTGAAGCCATATGCACTTGATATAAGGAAATATTCTGAGGTCAATAGTAATTACTTTTTACTATGCAAAAATGCCTGAGTACAATACTGTATTAAAGAAAAGGTATTTAAATTTTCTGATGAAAAGGGGGGGTCCAGACCCCCAGGACACCCCCTGGATTTTCCCCTGGGGTTCAATGATTTAATAAATGGTCAATGCCGTACACCTATGCTGTAATGTAACCACCAACATGAACTATGCTACACATTGTTTGCAAGATTAACCCCTACGCCCTGGGCTAGGGTGCCGCTGGCCGTATCCCCCACCTGGGATAAATCAAGAAAATCAACTTTTGCAAAAATATTTTTAACGTTTTTAAATGATAAAACAATCAAAAAGAGTAAGAAAAACTATATATTGACCCTCTAGAAACTTCCCTGAGGCCACAGTGGTGGGAAAAGGGCAGCGCGGAGTGGGGGAGATAAGGGGACAGCGTTGTTTTGACGCGAGCGCCTGTGGTTACATACGCACTTTGCGGCCATTTTCTGCTTGCCTTTGTGTCCGGGATGGCCAGTAATACATATATTTACTGATCATAATACTTATTTCATATAAATAATTAATCGAGTATTTTATTTGCATTATTTTTCTTAAAAATTGCTCGGCGACACAAATGCAGTCTGTCACCAGGCTGTCTGGTTGTTTTTATGTTTGGTAGAGCAAGTAATGCATATAAATAATTATCAGAATAATAATTCTACAAATAAATACATTTATAACATAATCATAGCATTGTTTTACAGTAATACTACACTACAATACAACTACAATACACTACTTTTAGCAATATTACTTTGATACAACATGAAAATGAAACAAACAAAAGTAGGTACTTACACTCTAGAAGCTTCCCTGTGGCCTAGCGTATGGCGAAACACGCAAATAGTTCTTCAATTCAAGATTTTTTGGCCAGTTATTATCAAGCTTTCCAGATTTTCATTTTTTCTGGAGACACTGCTTTTAATTAAATTCATGTAAAATATATATGAAATAGGATGAAAGCAAAACACTGTGCAGTCTAAGTTTTCCCAGAGCAAGAATGTGATATGAGCAAGGAGTGGTGAGGCTGGGTTGGGAATCACTATGGTTCATACAATGAATATTTTTCGTAATTGAGGCGCTCAGCATTAGAAGGGGGTGAAGCGCCACCCTGGGCAAAATGTGTTTTTTGATGGATATCACTATTTTTACCCTTCCTCTACATGTTGGCATTGGATGTAACCCTCTAGCTAGAATAGAAATATGGTAGAAAGTCCTTCAAAAATAAGGTGTGATTTCGCTTCAGGCCTGGAGCTACGTATCTGGCTGTGCGCTCAGTCAATGAAGGTGGCTACATCCCATTCAGAGTGAGAGGATTTCAAGTCAATGACAGCACGCCTCCCTCGGACCATACTCCCTGAGGCAGCCAATCACAATGAATTTCCCCTTGCTACGTTACAGCTCTTCGGCCAATCCACGCGCCCAAATGCTGCCTCCTTGTTAGTTTTGGCGCATTGTATAGCATAAGGAGGTTCAGTGTACGTTCTACTGCTAATTTTTTATAACTTTTCAGCGTAACATTGACGTTATTCGTGTTCCACGGGTGTGAGAAGTGCTGTGCAATATCTGCCCGATATTAGAGCAAGACTCGAATGAGGCCTGGCCTTCTGGTGTGGGTTCAGGAGCCCATTATTCCTCAGCGTGTGTTTAATGACGACAGTGCTCACGTGGACACCCCAGGAGTGCTTGGTGATAGTGATAGTGATTTTGGTATACTCATAATACAAAAAGCGACTGCGATGCATCACAAGACCTTTATGCAGACTGTGTTCTGGTACAGAGTTACCTGACATGCACTGACGGTAATAATGACGATGAAAGTGAGTCTAATGGTAACACAAACAGTGACACTAATGTATCACAACAAGAACATACAGACTGTGAGGAGGTAGAAGTGGACAGTGACGAGACATGCATTGACCTTGATAGTGATGAAAGTGAGCCTGACCCAACGAATGCTAGTGAAAGTGAGCCCATAACTCAGTCTTATAATGAAACTGAACTGTTACCGGCATCATTAATCAATGATTTAGTTAATGAAGAATCTGTGTGGCGAAATTTAGAGAGGGCAGAAAAAGACTTTGATCAGTATGTGATTGATTATGATGAGGCCATTAAAGTTATACGCACTTCTCAGGATTTACGTAACTTCAAGTTGCTACGATCTTCAGGGAAAATAAAACGAAGGAACTAAACAAAGTATGATTGTAATACTATTGTCATAATACTGTTTTTACCAAAGATTATGCAAACTTTCTCCGCCTTTGTATTCGTATGTTAATTACGTTGGGGGGGAGGTTGTAGGGGTATCGAGATATTAATGTTGTCTAGCACTCAGGATGGAAGGAAACTCTAATGTGGTTTTCTTGTATAATATATAAGTTATATGATAGACAGTCTGGTGCTGGAGGTGCCGTCTGGTGAGGAGCTGCTCAGTAGAAAACGTTCGGTGAGTAGCGTGTTGAAGGAGGTAGATGTGCAGGAGCTTCGTTAGAGAAGATGTTGCCTATTGCTGGCCTCCTGGTTGAATGAATGTTAACAGCGTGGAGCTTGCTGGAGTAGGTGTTGCTTGTTCAGGAAGATGGGCAGAATGAATCTCAATGGAGAGACAGAGCTTATATACCCAGCAGCAGCCGCCAGTCCTCTATGAATCATGTTGGGAAAACCCAGAAAGTTGCTGGTGACTAGTTGCGTTGCTAAGCAACCGTACCATCTGGCATCAGCTCTCGCTTGGTTGCTAGGAGACGCCAGCGCGTCGGAATGCGATGCGTAGTTGTAGGGGAGACGTCCACTACAAGGTTAATGGTGGGGGGGGTGAGTGTAATGGTGTTTTCTTATTATTACACACTATTATACTTAACAATATTATAAATCTTTGGCTAATAATAGGGACGGAAAAAATAAATACTGATAGACAAACGAGTTTTTTATTATTATTTCATTTTGGGGGGTTTATGGGGGGGGGGTGTAAGACGAGTGCCGTTTTTGGTTATCATTAACTTGTTTTACAGTATTAGCCCACAATAATAAGAAAATTTTGCAGAAAAACGCAATTATAGTTGGTTTGAAGCTCAAACACTTGTACATGACGGGTAGTTATTCTCATTCAACTCGCAATAAAATAATAACTATTCACAGTACTAGTTCCCAGGTTTCACAGTTCGCTAGGAGAGAGATTGAGCTGCACGATAAATAAATATGAACTCTCTAGCTTAAAAAACAACAAAGTTATGGTTGTTTGAACTTCGAAAAACTTTAAACGCGTTTTTTCTCAGCTTTTTAAATTTGGGCTTCACCCCCTTTTAATGCGGAGCGCCGCAATTGCAAATGTAAGAATGTGCCTGATTGGCTGACTTGATGTAAGCACAAAAATAACATCCAAAGGTAGTCATATTAGAACCAACATTACGATATACAGTACATTAAGTTAGCACCAATTTAGATAAATATTAATTGGTACATAATGTTTATGCTGCTGTCTCTTGTGAACAAGTTAAATGCTTTCTCACATCACCATCTTCAATACATTAAAATCTAACTTAAGATTAGAATCTACAACAATCCGGGCCCAGACATGCAGGCAGCTGATAGACCTTTAATAAAAACGTGCGAAAGGGCGTT